GAGTGACTTAAATATATATTCAGAACTTAACCTCACAGAAATAATGACATAATCGATTCAACTTGACCTTTCAAATCTGTGACATGTCAGTCCTTCTCATTAATTTTAGCTTGAAACTCTTTCTTGGTGCAGTTGAAGTCTTTTTTGTCAATCACACATGAAGTTTTTTTCTTTGTTGCATAACATTTTATATGTAAGACTCTTGTACTGACATTGGTATTGAGGTCATTATGCAGTGGCTCCGAAATAAAAAAAAAACGTTAAAAGTTTATGCTCATAACTTCCTGTTATTATTGGATGGTTTCTTATATTTGTAATACTCTTGTATTGACGTTACTGTTGAGATCATTTTACAGTGGCTTCAAAGTATGAAAAAAACCTGTAATTATTAGTTGGCTACTTATCATATTATTTTTTAATGTTCTTTTATAAATGTTGGTTGTGAGATAATTATGCAGTGGCTTCAAAGTATGAAAAGAAAAACCTGTAAGTTAAGTATTAATAAACTTTGTTGTTGGAAAGTAGGTGATGATCATTGTTGTATTCATGAGGTCATTTCGATTGAGTGTCAAAATTAAAGTGATCCGTGATTACGACAGTTTTACTTCACCATTTTTGGTGATTGGGCCAGAAAACTCGCTTCAAATGCAAAACTAAGACTAGTCGCTGCTCACTTTTTCCCGCGCTTTGGGCAGTTTGCCTAGCTTTACTACTAGTTCTCATTGACTCCTTGACTGACCCTCGTAATCACATTGGTTTTTGTCTTTCATCATACTATGAAAATTTACGTGACTCGCGTGAGTGTCGAAATTAAAGTGATCCGTGATTGCGACAGTTTTACCTCACCATCCTCAGTGATTGGGCCACAAAACTCGCTCCAAATGTAGTACTACAACCTAATGAGAGAGATATGTGGGAACTATTAGATGAGCCGGGCTGATTATATTTTACAAGATGACTATCGTCCCGTTTTATAATTACCTTAGCCGGTTACCCTTGCGAACTGAATTCCCAGTTTTCTGGGAATTCCTAGGAATTCCTAGGAATTCCTAGGAATTCTCAAAAATTCCCAATTATGCAAATGACCCTTGCAAACCGAATTCCCAGTTTTCTGGGAATTTCTAGGAATTCCTAGGAATTCCTAAAAATTCCTAGGAATTCCTAGGAATTCTCAAAAATTCCCAACTATGCAAATTAACTCTGATTTAAAAAGCTTGGAATTACTGGGAATTTCTGGGAAAGGAAGACTCCAGTTTTGTGAGGACTTGGAATCCCTAGGAATTCCTAGGAATTCTCAGCTTTACAAACTACCTATAATTTAAGAAGTGTGGAACTCTTGGGAATTTCTGGGAATTGAATTTGAGGCAATTTTAATACCCTGAGGTCCACATAAATTCTAAGAAATTCTCAATACCTTGAATGTGAAGGTTTTAAGAAAAAGAGTAATTTCAGAGGCTTAAAACTTTGGCTCAATAAAAGGTATGCTATACAAAACTTACCAAGAGATATACATACATGTACATGTTTATAACTTAAAAATCATGAAATTTATTACTCAAACTAAGTTTTAGTAAATCTTTACATTAATATGGATTTTCTCATGAACCAGCTGTCAGTTATGTTAAATGGAAATTGCCAACTTCCACAATAATTAACAATAATTACATTGTTATCTTACTTCCCAAACCTACATTACTGGTTGCCTTTGTTAGAAAACCTTGGAACAGTCAAGCTCAGTTGCCTCAAATGCTGTCAGAGACTTTTTGTTGACAATACTTTTAGTAGAAATTTCATGCCTTAGACAAACAAATTCAACACCTAATTAATCTTTCTTTTTTCATGATTGTTGTTGCTGCTTTTTTTTTCAGTTTTTTGCTCTATTTTCATGACTAATTGCTGTAATTTGTTTTGCTGTTTTTATTCTTACAAAACATTTTTGTAAGAAAAGGGGAACATTGACTACCTCTGTCTTGTCTGCATGCCAAATGTTTGCAAAGTGTGTGGATGATCCACAAGTATTGGAACTCTTACAAAAATGTTTTGTAAGAGTTCCAATACTTGTGGATCATCCACACACTTTGCAAACATTTGGCATGCAGACAAGACAGAGGTAGTCAATGTTCCCTTAGAGGAAAAACACCTTTTTATATGACGTCTTCAATTTACTTTATTTGAAACTCTGATCTGAAAATATTTGTCAACAAGACTTGTTAGTAGTGAGAAGTACCAACCAAGTTTCCTTTCATAACTTCTACCCCGTTCACACCAAAGCTTAAACATGGTTAAATCTTGTTTTACTAAACTGGTTTTATTAAACTACCTGTTCACACCGCGGGCGCGTGTAGCCAAACATGTTTAAAACCGTGTTTAATAAAACAACCTTAACGAGGTTGTTTAACTTTCGTGTTTAACTAAACACATTAAAGATGGCGGTTGCCAAAAAAACCCGCGGAAGGATTTGGGAAAACCAGGAAACGTTATTGTTACTACTGAAGTGGGGGGACGAAAATATACAAATGAAGTTAATATCTTGTATCAGAAAGAGGCCTATATGGCAAGAAATAAGTGATTTTATTCGAGTGGCAGGCTACGAAGGCCGTGATGAAGATGCCTGCAAAACAAGAGTACACACATTAGTAAGTGCGTATCGCTCCTACAAAGACGAATGTGAGAAGACCGGAAACGGGACTCCAAAGAGGAAGCCGGCGTTTTTCGACGAAGTCGATGAATTTCTCTCAAAAAAACCATGTACCAAACCGAAGGTTGTGGTAAATTCTTCAAAAATTATCATTGAGGCGGACAACGAAGAAGAAGACAATGAAAAAATTAAGAACGATGAACCAAACGAAGAGTTGCCTTCCTTCAGCGGCGGCACCAGCGTCGGCAGCAACAACAAAACAGCCGGCAAATTTCCTCAACCAAACAAGGGTGAATGTTTGACAGGTGAGCTTTGAAAACCTTCACTGATTGGAGGGTCAGACAATAGGCCAAGAAAATGTTTCAATATCGGCGCCTACGTTGTCTGTAATCTCTAACAAAATTTCTTGATAATTTTACTTCCAAGATGAGTGGAGTTGAACAAAAATATTGAGATAAGTATTGGCTCAAACTTTAACTTCTGCCTTTAAAGATTTCTTGTATTCCTTCACAGAAAGAACAACAGATGCTGGCAAGCCATTTTTCAAACCCGCTACGAAGAAGCGGAAGGTGTCAACGACGGATGCCTTAACACAAATTGACAAGGCGTTAGAGGCATTTGTTTCCTATCAACAAGCTGCTGATAGGAGTTTTCTTGCCGCAGAGGAGGCTCGTGAAAGACGAGAAGAAGAAAGGGAGGAGAGAAGAAGGAAGGAAGACCAGGAGTTTCTGCTGAAATTGGCGCAGGTACTTCGAAAATAAAAAGTACGTGTCTTCAACAATTTAATTTGCGATCGTATCTGCGACAGTTTCAGTTGGTTTAGTTTTCGTCTTTATTTATGCTGTAAGTTGAACGATGTTTCACGAAATCTAATGGCCGATTCCCAGTCGTTGGAGAAGGTGCAAGAAAAAAAAGAAAACTATATTGAACTTACCGATTAGATCATTGATGTTGACATGCTCTGGTTAACTTTTCTTTACTTGAACTAATTGTCTTCTATAGTTGTCTTCAATTAAATATGCTTTTTTTTTTCTTTGCAAAAATAAAAATCATTTTTTTCCTTTAAGTGTTATTTTTAATTTTCCGGCAGAGCCTAGTTGTTCAGAGGCCGATTAACACTAACCCAGGGTTACATTTTGATTCAGCTTCTTTATTTCTTTATTCAGGAGTCTTTTTTGGGATAATTTTCCCTATTCCTTTTAGACCATCTAATCATCAAATTGTAGACAAAAAAAAAGAAAATGGATTTCTTTTTAAATTTTCATATTTGAAATCAAATTTCACACTAACCCTGGGTTAAGTTAAGCCACCTTTGAACGACCTGGCCCAGAGTATTTAAAAAATGCTCCAGAAAATTAATGAAATAAATGAATATTTTTGTGCACAGTGGTTAGGATCTTTTGGAAAAATTGATTTAATATTTGAAATAAAGTTTTGATCCACCTTTAAAATGATGAAATTTGTTTCTGAGGTTCCATAAGTTGTTCAGAGAGAGAGGGTCATATGAATGACGTCTTTTAAGTCTCCTTGATAAATTTACAACAGAGAACTCTGTGTGTTTGTTTGCTTAATTATTCTTTCTTGTAAGGGACTAACCAAAAAAGTCTGGTGTATAATTACACAGTCACTTGCAATGGAACAAGAGCAAAAAGTTAGTGAATTAAATTAGTTTTGCTGACATCAATGCCAGCTGAGGCCATGTCACTGAGTGAGTAGATCTCCTTGCTATTTGAACTGAACACTTTGATCGAAAAGCTGAGATTGTCCCCCTCCTTCTTGATGCCTACATCTAATACTCAGAGAGGAAGATGCAAGTCTTGCACTCAAATTAGTATTTTATGTGAACATGTAGTATGCATGGCTAAATTAGCATATGTCACACCATGGGTTTCAAACTACTCCCTAATTTTTTAGCAAAATTTCAGTGCTAATATGTTTATTTCACATGTGAAATGGCAAACTTGCAATGACTGCATCTTTAATTGTTCTCAGATGGTGTCCAGGTTTTGAAATGTTCAAAAAAAATGTGGGGGTTTCAAAGAATACCACAGACAATCAAAGTTTGCCATCAGTAATTTTAATTTACACAATTGACAATTTACTTTTCAAATCTCATTTATACAACTGTAATTACAAATGAAACACTGCTTGACCCTCTTGGAGGAGTGTCCTTCAAAAGATCTCGACTCTCCCATTATTTATGAAACTATTTGCACTGTATACAACAAACCTTAAAGGGAGAAAGTAATCATATAAACGACTTTTTTGAGCTAGAGATGCAAACTCTTTGATGGATTATTTGCCTGTGAGAGATGCTTATGTTGAACACTCATGTTCAAGTGATGCATGTGACAATGAATATTTATATTAAGAATCTTTTAATTGCATCTCTTATTGCAACAGCATTTGTGTTCTGCCTTTGGTTTGGATCACCTGGACAAACTCCAGCATGAATGTGAATATCATTGAGCCATTGGTCATCAAAAGACTCGTTTCGCATCTCACAATAATTATGTAAAACACAACACGCTGCGATGACATTGCAGGCATTTTCATTTTCCAGTCTCTTTCCAATGCTTCTGAACCTTCCCTTCAATCGACCAAAGGCATTTTCAACAACTACTCTAGTCGTGCTGTGTTTTATGTTGAAACTGCGTTCCTCCGGGGTCAGATTTCCACGATCAATATATGGTTTCATCAGCCAATTGCTGAGAGCATAAGCTGAGTCACCTAATATCAGGGGAGGAACTTGTACACCAGATATCATCACCGACATGTCGAGCGGAAGAAAAGCTCTGGCACAACACAAGGCAAACAATGAAGAGTTCTTGAAGACACGTGCGTCGTGTACTTTACCCGGCCATCCAACATATATATCAAGAAATAGATAATTACAATCTACTAGCCCCTGAAGGATTAATGAGCGGAATCCCTTCCTGTTAACATAATCATCTGGACTTTGCCGAGGTCCAATGACTGGGACTTAGCAACCATCGACTGCTGCAACCACCTGGGGAAAACCCGCGCGACTTTTAAAACCTTCAATTTTTTCTTGGACTTCATGTTGATTTTGGGGAACGTTTATATAATTGGGAAGAAGAACGTTCCCTATCACCTCGCATACCTGTCGCACAATACCACAAACAGTGGATTTTCCGACACCAAATAGATTTCCGATCGTTCGAAAGTGAGCCGTGTCCGCAAGCCAATAATATAATGTTATTGCAACTCGATGACGCACTGTAATGGCTTTCCTGTAATTGGTGTCCCTTTTAGAGATATGTGGCGAAAGTTCTTGGCAAAGGCGAATAAATGCTTCTTTAGACATGCGAAAATTCCCATTCCAGTCCTTTTCTTCCCAATCTTGGCAAGTCTCTTCCCAAAATATCTGCGACCGGAGTTTTAGCCAAATACGGCGAACAGGAAGATGTTGGAGAAGAAATCGAAGCAAAAAACGGAAAAACAATGATGAAACGAGACGTCTCCGACGAACATAGCGATTAAACCGTCTCTCTGCGTTTCTCTATCGGTTTTGTGCAATTCTGAGGTTTTCCCTCAGCCGTGACTGCGCCAACAACAGCAGGATATTGTGATTTAAACTGACCGCCATTTTGATTGCGTCTTTAATTTTGTTGGCAACAATTAATATCAAAACGAGGCTGCGTAATACCTAACCCAGTCTGCAGTGTGAACGGTTCTTGAGCAACACATGTTTTATAAAACCATGTTTAAAAAAACTACGTTTAATGAAACTTGTTTAAATTGGTGTGAACAGGGCATTAATTTCTTAAATGTCCCAATCACTGGATCTCCCAAAAAAATATTACATCTTTTTATTTTTGGTGCAAATTACAAGTCCTTCTTTATATAAAAATGAAAAGTGATAGTCACACTTCAATAATAACAGCTCTTAAGTTTACTTGTTGTTCTTCTCTGTCTGTCAGCTATCAACAAGATTGTTTTATACTTCGGGCAGTGCATAACTATTTGTGGTCCAGAATTCCAACGCACCTCTGTAATCGCATATAGCTACTCCTGTCTCTTGTACAAATGTTTCTCCTTTGTAAGACGCACTCTACTCTGTTGTCAATACTGCTTTAAGTTCAGTGGAAACGACTGACTGAGGAATCGAGATGGCGGTGTTGGAACGTGTTGCTGAACGCTTGCTACGGTCAAGCTTTGTAGATTTAGGTACTGGTACACTAGGATCATCTATGTATCTCTTATGCTTCCTAATGTGGTATCCTTCTTTTATAAATATGAGGGTAAAAGACGATTTGTAGTCGCATTCAAAACTGTGATTGGCTTGTGTTATTTCTCACCTTGGCCATTAACACAACTCAAGTGAGTTTCGAGTCTTTGTTTCCTCGACAACTTTCGGCCACAAATCGTGCATTTGTAATACGATCGATTCTTTTCGATTATTTCTACATAGAGTGAGCTCACATCTTTATTTATATCACCAAGCTATCCATCTTCTAGAAGCAGAGAACCGGTCGGAGAAGTCAGAATAAAGTTGGGCGCTTCTCTTAACACTGCAATCGGCAAGCCAGCGGATTCACTTTGCTAGCCAATTACAAGTCCTAAAGGATCCACGTGATCATGCCCGTGATCGGAAACAAAGAAGACTCCATTTGGCGCTCATCTTTGAATGTACTTTGGATCGGTTGATCGCTTTTCTCAACTGTTTTGCTTAACATAACATTTCTAAAGATAGCTTTTATTGTGGTTCAATGGGAAAACGAGAATAGCGTGAGTGTTGTAAAAGAAAAGAAAGTCGTTGGCGCCGTGGAGTTAAAAGAAGGGACAACAGTTGACATATTGACTGGTACAAACAAGGGTCGAGTGGCCATCTGCAAAGCTACGATTTTGAAAGCTTGTGGTGAGTAAAAATTGCGATATTCGTTACGTGATCAAAATCTTATAAAAGAATAGATGTAGCGGGTTGAATTAAGCTTACATAACGCTCGGCGCAACTGAAACTAGAATAATTCTGAGAATCGAATCGGTCACTTGCATGCCGCAGTTTCTTAAGCTTATGCTTTACAATGAAATAAACCTATCAGTAAGGTTTCAAGATTCCTCTAGTCACGTTTGGGAACATTCAAGATTCATAATAGGAACTGTTATTAAACAAACCTTAGTACATAAAGAAGCCCTCCTTGGTAAAAACAAAATAATGTATTCAGCCCTTTTTTAGTAAAATCCATGAGAGAGATGTACTAACTCCAATATAAAAGTCACTCAATATAACAGAGATTTCTCAATTTGAGAATCCAATGAGTGCCCTTTTCCTCATAGCCATCTTAAAAGCCTGATCTGAGCTTTAAATATACATATTTTAATATATTATTTTTTTTCAAATTCAGATGTCAAGGAATTCAGATACAAAATGGTCAAGGTTCTTGTTGACAACCTCATTCAAGGCCAACTCATTGTGAGCCCAGGAAAAAAAATACAAACAGTACAAACAGCAGCTAAGTTTGCAGTTTAGGATAACTTCATTCTAATTTATTGTTACAGTTACAACAAGATTTTAATCAAAAAATCAATTTTATTTGTCTGTAATAGTCCATTTTACAGTTGTGTGCTTGGTTGCCAAGCCTTTGAACAGGAATGAGGCTAAGGGTGACCTTGTGATGATACAAACCTTGCTGCTTTTCAAATGCAAATTACTTTGTTATCATGCTAACTAGATACAGGTCTCTATCACAACAAGGTCACCTTCAGCCTCACTCCAAATCAAAGGCTTGGCAACTAAGTACATAACTGTAAAATGGCCTATTAGCCCCTTCACTCCCAAGAGTGCTTGGTTTTCAAATATAACTTAAGATATTGTATTTTATGGAAAAGAATCAACAGATTTTATTCACAATTTGTGTCAAACCAAATTTAATGATTGATTAGAACTATTTTATATGAATAGCTGTAATTGAGGATTAATCCGTATGAAGTTTTCAAGAAAAGAAAAATAAATCAAATTCCATCCTAATATTACCACACATTGATGTTAATTAATCAAAAATATTTTACATGTAAGCCTTAATTAAGCTTCTAAATAAATTTCATTGAATACTTGAATTTTAGCTGGGTTTTTTTTAATTTAAAGTATTTATTTTATATCATTAGCCTCAAATTTTTGCTTAAAATTCCCAGTAATTCTTAAACATTCCTAAAAATTCCCAAAAATTCCCAGAAATTCCCAGAAATTCCCAGAAATTCCTAGGAATTTTTTAGATTTACAGCTTTTCAGGGAAAGTCATTGGTTCTCTGAGTTGGAATTCCTAGGAATTCCTAGGAATTCCAAGTCCTGTTGGCTATAAACTTGGAATTTCTGGGAATTTCTGGGAATTTCTAGGAATTTCAAGGTTTTTAGAACCAGAGTTGTTATGGTTGGGAATTCCTAGGAATTCCTAGGAATTCCCAGTCCGAATTTACCGTGAAAATTCACACCTTTATTCCTAGGAATTCCAAAAGCCATTTCGCAAGGGTAAGATTGAAGGGAAAGAGTTAAAGAAACAAACCAAAGAAATAATGGTTTTGACATCAAATATAACAACAACTTTTCGATTGCAAGACAACCAGCTTAACTCACTTGCCATGTGTCGACTTGGTACTCAGAGAGCTTAGATACACAGTTTGTGCTGTGAGCCTCCTGTTGGTCGATCAGTTCTGATAACAAGTAAGGTGATAATCAGGATATGTATGGTACCATACGATACACAGGCCACTATCCACTCAGAGCTTTCACCCCACTTCACAGGTTATAACCGTTGTGCAAGATTTTAAAAGTAGGAAAATCATAAACATAAAACATTGCGTAACTGTGTAATCATGGTATTAAAATCGCCTAGTTACTAAATCTACCACCGTCACCAAAACGTGGAGGGGGACAGGGGGCAGGAGCCCGGGAGAACAGGGGAAGGGAGAGGGCGGGAACCGGGAGCAGAAATATAGAAGGCGATAGTTTGTTGTTTATTGCTGAATATTATTCAATCAAAAACACTTACCTAGCAAAGTTTTGATATTTCCATTTAACATCACCAGTGTTTAAAAGAAAATTTTGGAAGCAAGAAATTTGTACTCGGGCTGGAAAAACAGTATTACTTCTGGTGAATTTGGAAATCCCTTCAATTCGATTACGTCATAGGTCATGAGATAGCATGACACATGATACATGTACGCGTCTGGTAAGTTGTAGCTGTCGAAAATCTCCAGCAAAGAAAGCGATTCAGGTTCACGCAGGTCAAATGTCGTCAAAGACTACATTAATCGGCCTCAGTATTTCTCGGTGTGGCAACGAAAAATCCGTTCATGGAAGACCCTTAGGAGCTCGCTCCGTATCAGTGTACATCCCAAATTACTGAAGATTTTGCCTCCTGGTGCAAACTTAAAACTTTCCGCAGAAGTTTAAATAGGATTTCAACCTATCGAGAAAATCTGATAATCAGCCGACTACGAATGTTCAATCATGCTTCACTAACACTTAAACGGAACACTAAAAATGCAAACGGTTCAATAATTGATGTGCAGTGATTTAAATCATCTTTTAGAGTCAACTTTTTTATTTGCTCACGACTAGCTACGACAAGTTACTTGGTCAAAAAGGGAAAGCAAGTACGGACTCAGTAGAAGCAAACTCTAAACGTTACCTCTGGCTCTTGATTTTTTTATTTGATTTTGAAATGGTATTCCTAAATGCATGGAAAAGTCTATATTAAATTACAATAGCTATTACATCACATAGTGGACTGAGACTTTCGTCTCTATAACGAG